TATATGAATATCAATCAGAAGCGCCATCTTTTCGTCAAATGGACACTGTCCATATAACTGGCTTACTAAATGATGATTCATAAGAAGACAAAATAAATAAGAGACATCATCAATATCATACCTGAATTGAATAATATTCTTCTTTTTCGTGGGGTGTGGGTGAGAACAGCAGCTTTTCCAGATGATCAAAATTTTGCGGTAAAAATTTACAATGAATTCGTATTTCTAACATTAATTGTTCTTTCCAAATTTCTGCTTGTTTTTCCCGTACTGTAATCAATCGATTGATATATTCGTTCTAAAAAGAAAATTATTCTATATAAAATTATAAAAATTTACCGGTTGATTTTTCATAAAAGAAGCAGTAGATATTGTTTTCAATAATTGTTTTTCAGAAATATCTTCTTTAAATTTGATCAATTTATCATTATTTCTTTTTGATAAATATTTTCGTTCACGATCGACCAATTCTTTAAATCAATGCTCAATTTATTCAAATGATAATTCTTTAAATGGACATGTTTGAAATTGTTGTTCTTGTTTTGTGAATTCAAATCGACAATAATTCAATTGTTTTTTATTATTTTCTATATAATTCATCGCATATTGTTTACATAAATTGAAATCATTTGTTTTTGTCATTTTATAGAATTGATCCTTAATATAAATAGAAAATAAAATATAAGAGTGATTTTAATAAATTATATAAAATAAAATAAAATAAATTTACCGGCCATAAATTTTCTTGTAAACTAAGATCTAAATAAAATTGTCATAATTGTTAATCTAATAGTTGTAGTCGTTGAAAGATAAATTCTTTTTCATCTTTATTCTTCAATGAATAATTTAAAGTTTTATTTAATATTTGACAGAGTAAATGTGATGATCGTGTTAAATACATTGGTTGTCTAAATATATACAATAAATACATAAATAAATAAAATGAATAATTATTTCGATAAAAAAATTATTCTCACTGATAATTTATATGTTTATTTATTTTGTTATTATTTTCATTGATTCTTGTATTATCATTCATTGTTTCTTATATATTCTTCTCGTTGATCTTCAGCTGATTTTAGATACATATTAAATAGAATACTTCTCCCTTGCTCAGCGACATCTTTACATTTTTGAATTAATTCTTCTCGAAGAGGTATATTTTGAATAGAATTGAATAATGGACCATTAAATATATTTGAACATGTCAATGATTGACTTGGTAAATTATAATAACTAATTTGTTCTTTTAAAAATCCATATTCTTGTTCTGATGTTTCTTGTTCATATTTACTTTGACAAATTTCTGCCATTAATTTTTTCTAAAATAATATCGAATAGATTAAACGAAGATTTGTCTATATTACAAAAAAAAAAGACCATACCTGATATTGATTTGGTTTTTGTCGAAAATATTCTAATTCCAATGCTCGAATATGATAATCATAATGAATCAATTCTACTTGATGTGCAATTTTTCTGCGAAAAGACGAGTTGATATTTTGTTCAATATATTCCATAATTATTTCGTGAACTGATGGGGAATAGCCTTCACAATTCGTTGCTTGAATATTCAATTCTTTTTCATATTCTTTCAATTGATGTTGCATTCCATATAGTTGATCATTGACAAATTTCAAACAAATATCATTTTCATTAATTTTATTTTTCTTGTTTGCTAAAACAATGCGTTTAACTTCGTTTGGCCATATTGGTAATGTTATTGAATAGAATAATTTTTGTTTTGTTTTAGATCGAATAAACAATTGTCCTGTACCAGATTTTAAATAATTTTTCCATAGATATCGATAACTTTGAATAACCATAATTTTATAAATTAAAATAGCTATTCTTCTTAATTCATTCGTATTATTATTTGATTTTTCTTCTGTTGTTGTTGTTGTTGTTGTTATCGATGATAATATTTGATGTATCATTTCTTTGAAAGATTTATTTTTCTTTGTTAAATAATCTGGAATCATCTCCAATTGATCTTTGATTTCTTTCATTATCATAATAGGTTCTTTTTCATTTGTTGCATTAGTCGATAATTGACTGATTTTTTCAGATAAATTTTGTTCTTCAATTTCCTAGAAATTAAAAATACAAAATAGAAATAGAAATAATTTAAATTAATTTTTTAAGATGTACAGCTATTTTTTCTTGACTTTTAATTTTGTCGTTCATATTCCAAGGAAGATCATTTGGTATTTTATCAAAATATTCGAAAGTTTCATGCTAAAATAAAAGCAAAACATAGTTATTTAAGAAAATCAAAAAAAAATTGATAATTACTTGTTCATCTTCTTCTTCTTGTTCATCATATAAATTGCTATAATTTGTTGTCATTATTAACAGAAATAAGACGAAGAGTTTTTATCTAAAATCAAGAGAAAAATAAGCACGAAAGAAATCATCAAATTATTATAAGAAATATTTAAATTTTGTTTAATAATCTTGACGATTGCTTGAAATGTCTAGAAAGCAGATTATTGAAAAAAATTATTTAAAATTTTGAAATAAAATAAAATAATATGTTGAGTTTCATAATTTCTAAAATAGAGAAGAGAATAATTATAATTCAAATAAAAATATATTACTATAGATAATATCCAGTGTCACTGTACAAGATAAATTTCAATCTGGAGCGCCATCTTTTCCATAGTTGTTCACCGTTCATTTGAATGGTTCATCATAGGATGACGCATCTTCTAAAAAAGACAAAATAAATTTTATATATAAAATAAATGATTTGAATGCTGAATTTAATGGTTTTTTTTTCTTAAATTTCGATACCGATGATATCCAATATTGTTAGGAATTATTGCAAGCAACTATTTAAAGAAAAATTTAAAAAGAAATTAATCTATAGCATGAAATGTCGCTTACATGAATAAATGAACGAATTTAAAGGAAAATATATTTGATTTTAATTGATAATTTGTTATCGATCGATTGTCAGGATTCTCTAGAAATAAATTATTATATTTTTAATGAATTTTTTAAAGAAAATTTATACCATTTATGGATCAAAAATAATTGCTTTCTTTTAATAAAAATCGAAGTAGATAATCCATTGGAACAGATTGATCGATGAAAATGGAATAATTATCTTGAACCAAAACTTCTTTCTAATGAATATCATTGAATAGGTTGTTGATCATCGATGGTTACCACGAGAGCAGTTGAAATGAAGAGTACCAAGTAAAAAATAATGCATCGACGTGACGTTTCTGAGTTTCGATAAAATAATGAATATTTACAAATGAACATTGAGTTTTTATACTGCTTTTGAGAGAGTGAATAGTAGAAGAATAGTAAAAATAAAAATAATTCCCTATTTTCGAATTGATAGTACACGAAAATCAACTATTGTATTGATAGAGCATTGAATTAAATGGACGAAAAAAAAAAGAAATAGATAGAAGAGAGTGATTGGGAGAAAGCATTAAAAAAGAGAGATAATTGCCTGACTGATAATGATCAATCCATCAATGAAGATAATGGATAAGTAAAAGAGGTGTCAGTGATTTTCACACCTTCGAACATTGTCGAATTCATTGGGATCATCCATATTAATGGATACGATCTAATTGCTTTCGAAGATGAATATGAATACAACCAAGATTCGAATTCTTTTAACATTAAGACAACAATAGTTTCAAAATAAATAACTTTTGGAGCAAGTGACGATCATATAATGACCTTTTACCCGTTTATTTTTCATCCATGAATAAATATCAAGTGAAAGAGGAAAAGAAAAGGAAATTGAATTGAACTACATTATCATCTGTTTTGATG